AAACGGTGGCCGTTGAGCGGCGGATGGTTAGCTGAGGGCTTAGGCCGATGAGTTCCAGAGGCAGTTTGTTTGTGGATTCAGAGACGGGGTCCAAGCGAAGGTACAGAGGGGCAATCCAAAAGAGAGGTCCAGGTCCGTTCGAGGGTCCGTTTACTGGTTTGGATTCAGAGCAGGCAGTCAGAATCAGATAAGGGGTTTGGCAGGCTCGGAGAGAAAAAAGGCAAAAACAGGTCAGGTAACAGGTAGGCAGGCAAAAAGTAGAAGAGCTGGAAGGTACTCAAAAGATGGTTTGAGACGATCTGGCACTGGGAACAGATCCAAATGAGCTATATATAGAGGTGGGACCAATTAGAGATAATTGCAGGCAGGGTGGAGTGAGCAGGTGTGAGGAGTTGGAGATTAAGCCAGCACCAGTGCCGAGATCGTCACAAAAGTAAAATATATTCATTATCACCTCTGGTCATCTGAGGATCAGCTTGAACCGTTAGAGGAGGAGTTGCTTATTTTATACAGTTGGTTCCCAAAGCTCCCAACATTAAACGAGCTTTCAGAGACGCTGCATCGCTCCTCTGCAGTTCTAGAATACGCCAGAGATTATTTAGAGCTTCTATAAAGGGTATTAATGATGCATAGCTTACATAACAAGTCAGCAGGTCCTAAAGCTTCCAGATGAGGATCTCCTCTCCCAGCACAAATATCTGACACTAATTCTGAGTCTTTTCCTCAGACGGTAAATACTTATTTTTTTATCAGTTAGCAGAAAGAAGTGAGGGAAGCTCTTCCAGCCTTCTTCCATTTAGCCTCTTAGTTTGGGTTACAGCAGAGCACCAGAGCTCTGATAGGGGCCAACCCACAGAGAAGAACCAGGAAGTGCAGAGAATGGCTATAGGAAGGCAGATTGATGAAGTTTATAGTGGGAGGACCACAGGGCTCTGTTCTCAGCCTCAAACGGTTCCACAGATTTATAAAGATGGAGAAAGAGTCCTGCTATTTTCAACAGGTAGGACTGATGGCTGGGCTGAGCCCCAACAGACCTGAACTTTCCAGGTCCAAACAGCTTCCATTTCATGCCAACTGGTAGAACGCACCGAGGTGTTGTAGTTCTGGGTCAAAAGTTTGATTGTGGTTCAGGACTAGAAAAGTCTGGGAACCACTGATCCAGACAGAGGAGCTTTCCTCGGTTCAGGTCCACCTGGACGATCAGAACCTGCTGCTAAAGGAGAGGATTAATTTCATGTGAGCAGAAAGGAGACCGTCTAACCCATAGTGAACCTCCTTTAACCAGCAGACCTGCTCAGACAAACACTGGCAGCTTCTAGAACTGATCCAGTCAGTCATTTCTGGAAATAGCTGATTAGAGCAGAATCAGCTCCACAGTAACAGAACTCGGTAAGAGTTAGCATTAGCTAAATCGGTTCACGGCGAGAGGAGCAAAGCTGCTGGCTGGAACCAGGAGAACCTCCTCCAGCTGTGATTGGCTCACAGAACGTCTGTTGTTTGCTGCAGCCGGTGCTGTCCAGGTTGGGTCAGTACCAGCCGGCCTTATCAGCGCTGAGCTGCAGTCGCCCCCCCCCTCAGCCACACAGGGCCTGATTAAACCCAAAAAAGTGAGGCAAAGGTCACCCAGCCGCCTGCAGGGAGCTCTGCAGCCCCGGTTCAACCCGGACGGCCCAAGGTTCGGTTCGGACAGTTAGGTAACCAAAGCAGAGCAGACATCCAATCATCAGGAAGAGCTTCACCAGTGGAGTCCAAAGATCACTCAGCTGCCTGAAAAGTGAGTAGAGAACAAACAGACCGTTACCTTGACAACCAGGCTAAGCTACCGGCCCTCAGAATGGCCAATATTCACACTGAAGTGTTAGTGTGGACCATGAACTTAGAGCATATTTATAATCACTTCACATTCAGTTCTACCAAGCTCTAATAATATTCCCTTCCTGACCAGTTAGCAGTACAGGGACCACAGACACTGGGCTTAATAGAAAACAAAATATATCCTAGAGGTCTGCCACCAGAGACTAGACCAGAGTTCTTCCCCTTTTAATACCATTTGACGAACCAAACATTTCCTTTAGAACTGGCCTGACACCCATCTGGAGAAACATTTTCAAGTCTGTGGCCTGGATTTCCTCAAAACCAGATTTGTGGGAGACAATCCTAGCTGGACCAGGAAGGAAGATAGACTTGTTCTCATATAAGGGGGAGGTCTTAGAGAACCCAAATGCAGAGACAGATGTTGTGGTGTTTTCCTTCCAATTTAATTATCTATATGGTGGAAACAGAAGCAAAGTCCACAAACGAAATCCTGAAAAGTATAATTCAAGAGACATTTAGGAAAACACACATGGCATTACAGAAACGATGAGGAACCAGCAAACAGTAACTGAAAAGGAGGAGCATAAATTGGAGATGGAACAAAGACCAGGCTGATCAGCCCATGAGGAGCAGGTGTAGATGGAAACATCTAGAAGGGAGCTAGGGAAGGAACCTGGGAGGACGGCGTCTCTGCAGCCAGAACCTAGGAGGACGGCGTCTCTGCAGCAGGAACCTGGGAGGACGGCGTCTCTGCAGCAGGAACCTGGGAGGACGGCGTCCCTGCAGTTGGAACCTAGCAGGACTGCGTCTCTGTTGCAGGAACCTAGGACGATGGCGTCTCTGAAGCAGCATTTGCTAAAACTTTAAAGATTAATATTGTTTATCTGATGCAGGTCCAGGAGAGTCCAGAGAAGCCGGAGGAAGAGTGAAATATTAATATTTAGTTATTTCATTTCACTGAAGGTTCTGATATCTGTGAAAAGTTATTGAACAGAGTATCCCTTCTTATATTGTTACTATCATAGAGAAAAATGTTGGCAATTTGCATTCATGTTTGAATAAATCTGCATTGCTCTTTATTAGGAGTATTTTAGAAAAATACACAGAATCAAAAGCCTTTACAGAACAATAGGATATAGTAGACTTAAGCTTTAAGTTTACAGATATACGGTTTTTATTGATAAAATGTATCTTTAGGGGATGTTAAGCTCCAGGCCTGAAAATGAGTCCCACTTCTGCCCTGCTGTAGAGTTTCCACCAGGGGGCACTCCTTACCTATTCAAGACATTGGATGTGTTAGGAACAGCTTAAATGCCACCATCCAGCAGAAGCATCTTCTTTCCTTAGCAGCGGTGACCTGCTAACGAGTCAGTCTGTAGATCCAGGCAGGCTGCAGGAGCTCCTGGGTCTACCGACTGGCTGAAGCTCCTGGAGGTCCTGGAGCTCCTGATGGTCTCCTCAAGGTCCTGGAGATCTCCTTGCAGTCCTGGAGGTTTCAGGCAGTAAAAGGTCACAGAGAAACACACAGCCATCCCTAGGTTAATGGACCTGATGGTCTGCCGCAGCCGCAGGTTGTTGGCTGGAGCTTCGTTCTCTACGTTTCTGGCGTCGAACAACATAAAGTCTGACCAGAACCACAGTTGCCACCAGAGTCACCGCAGCCACCACCCAGATCCAGAGGAAGGGCCCTGCAGGGGCTGAGGAGCCCTTCAGGGTGGTGTTTTTATGGGTTGGTGTCATTAACTCAGCAGGATGATGACTTTTTGCTTTGTAACAATTCCCATTTTCTTTGAGATGGAAACCAGGCCTGCAGTAGCACCAGAAGCTCCCAAAGGTGTTCACACAGCCGTGGTGGCAGCCGTTGTTCTCACACTCGTTTATGTCCTCACACATCTCTTCATTTTTCACAAAGCCATCAGGACAGTGGCAGCCCTCAGGACAGACAGACGGACATCTCTGCTCTGGACAGTGGACCCTGCAGCGCCGTGGGTCGCTGCTGTCCGGGATGTATCCTGTGAAACAGGAACATTTAAATCCTCCCTCTGTATCATTACACTTCTGCTCACAGGGACCTTTGATACATCCCTGGGAATCTTTAAAGAACACCTCCTTCTCCCAGCAGAAGTTCTTCTCTCTGGTTCTGCACAGAAACCCGTCTGCTTTCACAGAACACGCCCTCTCGGTCCATGTCCCATGCTGAGACACAGAGACGCAGTATGGAGGGCAGACATTACGCTCATCTGCCCAGATCACAGCAGACCAGTTAAGGGTTTTTTTTTCACTACCAGAGGTCCATTTGTATCCCCGGAGTGGTTCTGAGAGGTTGCTGCAGGATCCCCCTGATAAACGCAGTCCTATCCAGAAGTTCCCAGGCAAAGCTTCAGCCAGTGTCTTAAAGATCCGCTGATAGGTGTCAGTCTGAAGGGTCAGCAGCTCCCCGTTCTTCCGACGGCAAACTTCTTCTGCAGAGTCAAAATCCAGCCTGGCCCGGTTCACAGTGATGCAATCATCTCCAGAACACACCGGCAGACAAGCCTGTTTCAGCCCCAGACCTGCTTCCATGGCCACAAATAACAAGGCTGACAACAAAGCAGCCATTCTGGGAGCTGCTTTTGTTCCCGTCTGGTTCAGAAAAGTTCTGAGCCTGTCAGAGCATGTCCAGCTCCGGAAAACTGGGTCCCTATGGACCAGGAAGGAAACCAGATAAGAGAATATTCTTTGCTGCAGGAAGCGCGTGTTTCTGTACGGCTCTGTGATCAGAACCGAACATTCAGACAGAGGAAATCTGACATGATCAGAACCAGAACATTCTGACCTGAAATCACAGGAAACACTGAGGGGATTCAAAGCAAACAACCTTTATTTTCAAAAATACAGCCTCTGTTGCTATGGCAACAGAGTGCTGCATGAATCTTTATACAACAAAACAGTACCACTAATGTTCAAAACCATAACTTATTAACCAACCACTTTAAGGAAACTTCTATGGTTTATTAAGAAAATTGTTTCTTCTTCTTCTTGAAGTTTTAAATGTTTGGAAACATTTAGGATTTTGACTGCAAACAGGAAACGGAAGCGACTTCCTGGATCTTGGATTTGGGAACAAGCTGAGGATATTCTGGACTCAACACCCCCAACACATCCCCACCCCCACCACAAACAGGCATCCAGTGCTATGATGTTATTTTGGATGAATGGACGGATAGATGTATGTATGTATGATGGATGGATGGATAATGGATGATAGCAGACCATTATTAGATAGTGCAGTTATAAATTGTAAAGAATCTGTTCTACTTTCTCTCTCCTCTGTGTCGCTGAGCAGTGCTGCAGAGTGCAAAAGGCTCCTTGGTTTAATGCAGAGCTGTGCACTTTGAAGCAAAATGCTAGGAAACTGGAGAGTAAATATTGCTCCACCGGCCTACGGGAATCCTACCTAGTCTGGAAAAATAGTTTAGTGCTGTATAAGAGGAGCCTTTGTAAAGCAAGAGCAGCATATTTCACCTCATTAATAGAGGAGATTAAGAATAATCCTAGATTTCTTTTTAATATAGTTGCCAAACTCACCCAGAGCCATAGCTCTGTTGAACCATCCATTCCACCTGCTCTTAGCAGGAATAATTTTATGGGATTCTTTATAAATAAGTTGATCTTATTAAAAATAAGATAATTAGCACTCCCCTATCTACGATTGGTTTGTCTCTGGAGGGTGGGGCAGCATCTGAGGTAGTCATGGAATCTGAACCGGGTTTAGACTGCTTTGATCCAGTTGAACTTTCAGAGTTAGCAAAACTATTGTCTTCATCTAAGCCGTCAACTTGGATGTTAGTCCAGTTCCATCCAGGTTATATTAGGAGGCATTCCCTTTGACCTCTTCCTCCATTTTAGATGTGATTAATCTATCTCTGTTACAGGGATATGTACCAAAGGCTTTTAAGGTTGCTGCACCTTGAGATGACATGATGTGAATTAGCGCTATAGAAATAAATAGAATCTAATTGGATGATGGAGGAAAGTTTATCTTATTATCTCAACCTACGAAATGAATTCTGATGGTTAGAAACATTATTTAATGCTGCTGAAGATGAGAATGAAGATGAAGTGGTGTAGTCATTGGCTGCTGTCTCAGAGGTCAAAGCTAATCTAACTGTCGCTGTACAACAATAATAATAAAGGTTTCATATCTTACATAAATGGATACATTTTTCTGAAGGAGACATTTTAGAGCTTTGAAGCCTCCAGGAACAGAACAAGGAGACTAAAGGTCCAAAAGCTGAGCCTGTTCTCCTCAGAAATTAGCATAGTTCCGCATTCCCCTGCCGGGTCAAAGGTCATCAGCCACGATGGACTCGTACAGCTTCTCCAGACGTGGGTCCAGACCTGAAGGCACCCAGCAGTAGCCATCAGCGGTGTTCTGCTTCTTCTTCAGCTCTTTTCTAGAGCGGCTGCAGCGGAAGATGGTGATGAAGAGAGTCAAAGCGATTAAGGCGAGCAGAGGGATGACTGAGCCCAGGATGCAGACCAGCACCCTGTTCCCTGTGGACGCACCCGGTACCAGATACTGGGTTCTGTTCTGGTCTGTGACATTGACCAGGTCAGACAGTGGGGTGGCAGTGTGGGTCAGGATGGGGGGCTGTCCGTACTGGGATGGGGCGGCTGTGATTGCCTCCTTGATCTCCTGGTTCCCCTGGATCTGCTGGTTCCCCTGGGTCTCCTGGTTTCCCTGGGTCTTCTGGTTCCCCTGGGTCTCCTGGTTTCCCTTGGTTAACAGCTTCACACACTGGAAGCTGCCCACAGAGTTGATGCATGAGTGCTGCTGGGAGCAGGGCGCAGCGCCACACTCGTCCACGTCCACACAGCGGCCTTGGCTTAGCTCATAGCCCTGCTCACAGACGCAGTGGTAACCACCGCGGGTGTTGACACAGCCGTGGCCCTCGCAGGCCTGGGAGACGCACTCATCGATGTCAGAGCAATTGTGCTGGTTTTCAGCCAGTCTGAACCCACTGGGACATTGACAGGAGAAGCCTGTCTTCCCCGGCAGGCAGCGGTGCTCGCAGAGACCTGGTTTGCACGGATCTTCTATTCTGCAAGAGAAGCCGTCCTCGTCCAGCTCATGACCTTCTCTGCAGAGGCACCGAGCAGTTTCTCCTTGGAGTCGACACTCATGTTCACAGCCGCCATTGTTTTGCCCACAGCTTTTGGGACCCGGTTTACAGAACGGTCCTGGATGGGTCCAGCTGTAGGAACCGTTCTGAAGGATGCACTGAGGGGAATCCATCTCTCGGTCACCGCAGAAGACTCTTGCTCTGGTCCCGAATGGAAGCAGCTTCAATCCACTGTTCAGTGGATGATGGGGGGAGAAGATGGCCTGATAGATGATCTTTCCAGGCCCCAGCAGAGTCAGAGAGGAACACATCCCCTTGAAAAGGAACTTACATGCATACGGGGCGCCTTTGTTCCAGCAGCTTTCTGAAGTCCAGCTGAGCCCATCCTGCTGGGAAAAGCTGTACTCCACCTTTACACACCTGTCCGAACTGCATGTGTCTGCAGGCTCCTTTTTCCAGTTGGAGTACTGAGAGAGTGGCTCCCCAGAGACCCACTTAAACCCTCGGAGGGGTTCGTTGAGCTGCGTGCAGTCCCCCTGGTTCTTTTTTAACCCGATCCAGATATTCAGCACCTCCTCTTCATGCTGTTTCTTTCTCAGTGAGAGAAGCAAGTGCAGATCCATCTCCTCATTTCTGTCTCTGACCGTCACCAGGTACCCGCCGTCATGTCGGCACCGGTTCTGAGCAGCATGGAAACTGACATTCTTCATATGCAGGATGAGGCAGGCTTTAGGGGTGCACAGCATCTCCTCTTGGGCCCCCGATGGTCCCCCCAGGATGCCGATGAGTGTCAGGACGAAGGTCAGCAACATCACTGCCATGAAGAGCAGCAGAAGTGGGTGCTGTCCAGTCTGAGGTCGTCCATTCGTGGCCACAGAAGAAATGATCGCCTGCTTGGATCCTTGGGGCCCTGTATCCTGTTTGGGAGCAAAACTGAAGACGGAAATGTTGTTTATCAGCAGCCATGGCTCCTTTCTTCCCTGCGTTTCCGTACTGAGGTAGAAAACAATGAGGGGCTGCGGCTTGTTTTGACTGCCGCTCCAGATGCGTCCTGCTGCTGCTCCCTTCAGAGGCCCAAACATTTTGGCTCCTCACAATACATGAGTGTGCAGCAGGGAGAGGCTTCTGAACTCTCCAAGGAAGGCCAGTGCTGGGAATTAACCTTTGACCCCTTCCATTGTCTTGTTGAGGGGATTCAGCTGAGCACGGCTTTATAATCTATAGCAAATTTCAGGAGCACAGTAGGAATGAGAATGGTATTACATTTGAATTATTAAAGGTGAACAATAAAATTATTAATTCCTCTAAATAAAATGTGGTGCAGAAAGTTGGCATTATACTTATTCAACTAAGAGTCATATCTGAACAAACAGGTTTTTAATCTAGATTTAAAGCAACTGGAGCTTTCAGCAGCCATGATTTGGTTGAGGTTTTAAGGACCCAAATGCAGAGATGGTGAGGTGAGTTCTTGTAGTTTTAATGTCCTCAACAGGTAACAGAGGCAGGAATCAAAAATCCAACAGGAAAATGCCAAACAAACCAGAAACATGGAGTCATCAGGTAAAATAGGCACAAGGAGGCGAGGAAAGACGAAGAAAGTTGATGATCCAGCACTGAGGGACTGCACAGGTAGATTATATATGGGAGACGGAACTAATGACCTGATTGGGAGCAGGTGTGAGCAGAGGCTTCTAGAAGGAGCTAGGGAAAAAGAAACTAACACCAGAGGGCAGCAGAGGGCAACAAAGAAAATCCTAAGAACTCAAATATATCCAGAAAACACCAATAAAGCTAGAAAACAAAGAAAAACCTGGATCAACATGAATATGAAAACTCACAGAAACTAACAGAACCAAGACCATGACATAAGCTTTAATCCAGATTAATGGAGCATAATTCTGCCTTTCCCTGTTTGGTTGTGGTTCTGTGGTTCTGGCCAAGCCCAGTCAACGGTTTAGGAAGAAATTGCTTGTGTGTGAGAACTTGTTTTTATGACAGTATGGGGACTGTTTACACAGTCAAGTCATGGGGACCTATGTCCTTATGGGGACCAAAATTCTGGTCTCCATTAGATGAAGCTGGGTGAGGGTCTGGGTTAGGCTGTATAAAATGAATGCAAGTCAAAGAAATGTCCTCATAAGTCACAAAAACTAATATGTGTGGCTGTATTGGGTGGGGTGGGGTGGTAGGGTGGTTCCTCCTAA